CTGGAACATATCCAATTGGATATGGAAATATTATTTATAGGGTATAATTATGTGAGTATCACTGTCTTTGGGTTGAATTGCATACAGTGTCATTCTTCCTGTAGTTCTCCCTACTAAGGGAATGAGCTGCTGCTACGATTTACACACTTGAGTAGGAATATTTGAGTTAAACTTTTGGTTACTAATGCCATGTTAGGAAAACGTCCATATTATAGCAAGCTACTTTGGTGAAGTTTCACTGGAATAAAAGATATTTTAGGAAAGGAGATTTTGCTTCCATTTCGAACCAACATCTCCCATCAGGTAAGCAAACAGAGTGACAAGTTATAGCTACTGACACATGACAGCACCCACAGACTGGTACAGCAAACCGTGCTCTCCTTCACAAAGCAAACACAGCTGTACAGTGTTTTGCAATCTACCTGCCCTGCTCCTTCTTGTGCTCTTCCAGGAACACAGTGGGAATTATCAAATTACAAACAATGCAGAATAAAATCTAGAGCCAGTTATAGACTTCAGTAAAACTAAGGAGGAACTCTTCCTTTATTTATTTTCTGAATCTACATCCATCTATGGTCTGTCAGAATTCTTCTCCACAGTCTAATTACTGGCTGATTTGTGGCCAGGAGTCAAACTTCAAAATCATTTTACTTCAACTCAGTAATTTCTCCCTCTGCAGTAGCTCTAAGTGTTGGCACTGCTCTCTTGTTTTCAATTATTTCAGACTGAATATCTTATTACATCCATGATCTGATTCAATTCATACAGCATTGGCTAGGGTCACAGGAAATGTTTGATGTGCCTTTTAATTCTGAGTGGCAATTCCGATCTAAACACTATCATATTGTAAATTCCAAGCAAGCTGGAAGACACTATTATAGTAATATGAAAAATTAAAATTTGGTTTTAAGGTGGCACTGTTTCTGAAATAGAATTCCTATTAGTGCCAAGTCACACACAGCTTACAGTCTGTGTAGTTTTACTTATATCCCATGCTTTCTTTACAGTAAAAGGAAGTGAGAAGGCATGTCTGAGGCAGTGCATCTGATCAAATTCAGACATTTAAAAAGGAATCAGGCCCCCCATTTAAAAAGGAATCAGGCCCCTCTCTATCATCAGCACCCCTCTCTAATGACTCACAACCAGCTCAGACACAGGCATTGACACAACACTGTCCAATTTGCTCAGAAGGATCCTACACAAAAGCTGTGGCTTAAAATGTCAGTATATCAAAAGGTTACACCTACATAAAAATAAGGGCTTGATTGTGCTTATACAACCTGCTGAGAGCAAAGGCAGAGGTGCAGAGCCCAAGGAACTGGAACTGGCTGCTGTTGGCAGAACTGCTCCTGACTGCAAGGACATGATGAGCTCCCTCTTTTCTCCTATGTGCCACAGTTGCGTAGATCCCATGAGTTGTGCCTTTCCATCCCTCCCTGCCTGTTTGTTCAGAAATACAGGTGCTGGACCGAGCACCTTGGGCATAAATGCCACCAAACCCGATGTCTGTAATTATTTTTCACTGGCATGTGGTCTGTGAGACCAGAGATGATGAAATACCATGTGTCTGATGTACTTTGCTATGGACAAATGCATACATATCATGTGATTCTCCCTAAAAGAGAACAGGCTCACAACAAAATTGAAAGCAACAACTTCCTGATTCTTTGGTTCACTTCCAACACATCTAAAATTAGTCTGCAGATTGTCTTAATTTGCAGTAATCAGCCAATGTCAGCTGTACATTGCAGGAGTGGGAAATAATTCTGCCACTCCTTGAAATAAAACTGCCAGCACAAAGAGGAGTTGAATTAGGAAGCTTTCTCCATAATCTTCCCTCTATTTTAAACAGAATAATCCACACTAGCTTCTTCTCAAATTTTGTCTTAGACTTTCTTTTCCAATGCAGATGTAAATTTGGAGGTAAGAAATTAATTAATCACAGTCTCCCTTGGTTCACTGCAAGTCTGGGTATCCACCAGTCCAAACACAATGATCTGCCTTACAATGTGTGGTTCAAAACATAATTCTGTGATGGCTGAAGTAATTACAATCTATGAAACTGCCAGGAAAAAAAAAAATAGCTTATTTCCATTTTTGGGAAAAAAGGCAAGATTTTAAAGTTTAAAAGTACTGTAAGTACTCCTAGAAAATAACAATAGGAAAAGGGTATTTAGGCTTCAAAATCCAGCAGCATTTTACTGGAAATTGTGTTGATCCCACCAGCCCCAGTGACCATCCCTGGAGGTATTTAAAAGGTGTGTAGGCGTGGCACACAGGGACAGGGTTTAGTGATGGACTTAGCAGTGCTGTGTTAACAGCTGGACTCAGTGTTCTCAGATGTCTTTTCCAACCTAAACAATTTTATGATTCTTTGATTCTATGCTACTCAGCAAATTACCCAATCCACCCCCATACCAGACCATGAACTTTTAAGAGATAGGTTTCAGTGCCAATATGAGATAAGGAGTAAAAAACCATATTAATTATTAATAATATTTTTCTTTTTCGATTGCCTCAAGATGTGACAAAGTAGGAATTTCAAAATATCTAATTTTCACAGCCAAGGGGGTTAAAGTCTGTTCTGTGGTAGAGTGTTAAAAACTTTACAGGGTTAAGGCTTTTACCCAGTTAGTACCAAATCACATGAGTCCCAGATGCACCATGACCTCCTCCTTACAAAGTGATAATTCCCCTCACAATAAAATCCCAGCTGGAGTTAAAGCCCAAGCCCCACAGTGGAGGTGCCAGTCTGCCTATTTTAGGGCTGTGGGCAGCTCACCCCATGCTTTGCCAAGGAGAAATTCCCATGACCAGGCTCACATGGATCCTTCCATACGCAGGACATCCAGGCAGGAGGTTGTGATAAGAGTTCCAGGACTGAGCTTCATCACCCAGTGTGTGAACTTCCAGTGTGGTTTTTTTCTTCAGACAGCAACAGGTTTCTGCACAGGGCAGACCAAGCCCAGGAGTTCTTCCTATCACATGCAAATAACAAAACTGGAACAAATGCATTTGTACAAAAAGGAGTTTCATTTCAGATGACTGGCATTTTGTGTTGACAGTCACCTTGGTGAAAAGCTCTTGGGCACATCTAATCTACATAGAAAACTTTATTGAATGTTCTTTGCTTCTGGTTTGTGTCTCATTCTGCTTCTGGCACACGTGCACTTGTAAAACATCAAGCTCAGAGGCCACAATCCCATCTGAGGCTTCTACAAGTAGTGAGTAAATGTAACACTAATTGCAGTGTATCCACAGTGTATGTCATTCTCTGGCACAGAAATAGCAGCCCTGATTTGGAGTTCAAGGAGTTCATGTTAAACTTTCAGATCACAGATCACTTTTCCTGGAATTTTACATACTTTTCTTGAAAACACCCTGAAAAGCTTATTCTGAGGCAGTGAACCAAGGTCAAATGGATTCTGTTTTCAGCGTGTTTGCATATTTGCACAAGTTTAGAAAGCTCTTATCAGTTCATTTAAACAGGGTAAAGTAAATACAAACACACCGCGGGGGGCGGGGGGGGGGGGGGGGGGGGGGGGGGGGGGGAAGGGCCCCTTCAAAGAACCTGATTCATGAAAGACACAAGTAATTGGTAAATCGGATTTCTTTATCTGGGTCCCCTCCTTTTATGTGCGCTTAAGTGCTGCTACAGTAGCCCAAATTCCCCCCAATCCCCTTGGAATCCTCCAAGGACCACAAAAATAATTGCATACTGGGGCCAAAGCAGTGTCATGACCTAGGTCTGCTTGTTTGTCCATCAGCAGAGCTCTTTGTCCAGCTTTTTCCTCTTTTTAGCTGTCAATCTTCAGAGATCTGCTAGAAATGTAATTTTGAAAACATCTCCCTCTCTGTTTCATTTAGTTGAAATAGGACAAGAAATGTAAAAGTCATTTGTGAAAGGGATGGGATGGGGAGAGGTCAGCAAATGAAGTGATCATATGGACTTTTATTTTTTTAGAAAAGCTGGTTTAAAACTCCAGGAAAAATTTAGACAGTGAGGAGCACCCACAAAATAGAAAGAGAGAGAAATAGTACTAGGATTATTATCAGTGTGACCAAAAAAGAGAGAGCTATTTAGTGACAAGAACAGATATCAATAATTAAAACTTCAGATTTAGGAATTTTCAGAAAACAGTTTGCATTTTAAGTAACCCAGTACATAGTGAAACTAATAATATCCAATATTCTATATTTTTATGTCAATGTTCTAAAGAGGCATCAAGATTTTCTTAAATTATGTTGTTTAATATGTTAATTGCAATTTAAATGCCCAGAGAAGTTATCAATTTAAAATTAAACCTGTTCAAAGATTATATTCAGCTTTTCCTGATGGAGTGAAAGAACAGATATTTTAAAATTTTTTGGCAGATCAGAGTAAAAAAAAAGTGACTTAAAGTTATCTGTCCTGCTGAAAATCATCTGAAAGCATCAGATATCATTTGTAGTTCACAGTGTTGCACACAAGAGACAACTTCAAGTTCTAATTATCAGAAGACTTTCCAAAATCTCAGTGTATTTCAGCAGGTTGTCATGCTGTTGCTTTGTAAACAGCCATGTTCCCATGAAGCCTAATAGCCAGTGATGGATTTATCCCATCAAACCAGGACTTCTGTGCCAGTCACCATCCCAAATTCCAGCTATGGTAGCAGAGAGAAAGAGCCACTACCAGGATTTAATTCAACTTGTCCTACAGGAGACATCTAAAATAAAGTAAGGAAAGAACACTTCACATTCATTAACAAGGGAAGTCATTTACACTTCTGTGAGGCCTCTCATTTTTGGAGAATCGAGTCAGATTCCTCTTGATATCCCACATTATAAAAAGACTCACTTTTAGCCTGGCAATCTTCTTATAAATTGGCTTCTATCCATATTTATTTGCTTATGTATTTTTTGGCTGTCTCTGAAACATTTTCCTATAGAGTAGATGGCAAAGCCTGTATGTGCTGGGAAGATTAAGGTACAATTTGAACAGCACTTCTAATTACCTTGCTTCATAGAACTGGTAGAAGAAGTTAAAGTTTGCTTTTAGAAGATTGGGTAGAGGACAGAAGAGAACTTTTTTTAGATAGGATTGTAACGATAGGTCTTCCTCAGAAAGAAATTCCGCCTAAGGGGGAATAAAAGACAAAGAAAGAGATTCTGAAGAACAATTCCCTATACATTAAGCCCCTGTGGGGCACAAAATTGCAGTAAAGGAATACTTTTGGTAAACTGGAGCTGGGAGAAACTTCTCTCGAAATTTTGAAGAGTTCCATCCCAGGATCCTCTATATGAAGCTTTCACCCAATGAAAAAATATTTATTTTGACCAAACACCATTTTAGCCCCATTTTGCTTCTTTTTCTGTTCACTGAACTGTGCTGATCTGTACCCTTATCCCTGCTGCATATTCTATCACTTGTCAGGCAATATGCTTAGAAGTCTCCAGCCTTGCTTCAATCCCCTGGCAGCAAGTCAACCAGTCAGCTGGCAAAGCTGGATAATTACTGCTTAGCCCTAAAGAGCTTAAAGTTTGTTTGCATGGACCTGTGTCCTGGCAACACCAAAGCGTTCAACCAGAGGGCAAATTTTCCTTCCCCTGCACAAATTCTGTAAGGGAAGGAAAATGGGGGACTTTTAAACAGACACTAAATGGTGGTTACCAGGAACTGAGATCTTTTGGGTCTAGGGTTGATTTGCTATCATTATTAGGTAAAAGAGACCACTGGGCTCCTTCCTTCCTTCCTTCCTTCCTTCCTTCCTTCCTTCCTTCCTTCCTTCCTTCCTTCCTTCCTTCCTTCCTTCCTTCCTTCCTTCCTTCCTTCCTTCCTTCCTTCCTTCCTTCCTTCCTTCCTTCCTTCCTTCCTTCCTTCCTTCCTTCCTTCCTTCCTTCCTTCCTTCCTTCCTTCCTTCCTTCCTTCCTTCCTTCCTTCCTTCCTTCCTTCCTTCCTTCCTTCCTTCCTTCCTTCCTTCCTTCCTTCCTTCCTTCCTTCCTTCCTTCCTTCCTTCCTTCCTTCCTTCCTTCCTTCCTTCCTTCCTTCCTTCCTTCCTTCCTTCCTTCCTTCCTTCCTTCCTTCCTTCCTTCCTTCCTTCCTTCCTTCCTTCCTTCCTTCCTTCCTCCCTCCCTCCCTCCCTCCCTCCCTCCCTCCCTCCCATCCTCTCTCCCTTCAACTGTTCATAACTCCACTGGCCTAGAGTGTTTTTTGGCAACTACCTTTGTGGAAGTACTTAGAAGACCTGAAAAGAAGTATTTAGAAGACCTCGTGGTAGAGACAAGACAAGCATTGGCATCAGATTACATATTCTAAGTAAAGCTGATGTTTTCTTTGTTTATTCAGTGCAATTTGCTTATGATAACTTCTGTCTTTTAGTTTCTCCTGATTGTTATTGTTGTTTTTCATGGCTGAAGCAGCTTGACTGGCTCCATCTGGAAGAAATAACACACAGGTCAGGATGATAAGGAATGTAATTAAGTAAGACTGAGCCACATTCAGCACTGCTCCTCTTGGCTGGCTGCTCCGTGGTGTCCATGTACAGTGTGTGGGATGCTACACTGGAGCACCACCAGCAGCTGCAGAACAGCCACCCTCCATGTCACAGTCACGTTATTTCATGCCTGAAGTTAGGTGATCCTAGAACCACTGAATGGAAGCCCTAAAGTACTTCCTTGCTCACTCAGCCATCTTGAAAATGTTGGCAATCAAGTTATACAATCCTGCTCATGGTCTGAACACAAAACATAAAAACAATCTTCAGTATTTGACCTAAGTACCCTCATCTTTCAGTTGTGCTGCTTGTAGCCACATAACTCCAGTAACAATTTCAATTTGTATTGCAAACTGATAAGCACTGGGGTGATTCAAAGCTGTGTTAAACATGGTGGATGCAGGGAGAGAAGTAGCAAGACACTCTGGAGTCCAGTATGAGCATCGCCAAAATAATGAGGGGAGTTGCATCCTTCCTCATTATTCAGCACTGCTCTGCAAAATCAAACTACTTTGGGACCAGATTTGCTGCTTGTTTACAAAAAACCTTTGTGAACAAAGGTTTTGTGCTGCTTGTTCACAAAAAAACTGTGGAAATCTTCTGAGGCAGCCTAAATTGTATGTCAAGAGAAAAACTTACCGCTTTGTCAGGGGGTTCTTAAGGTGTTTGTCATCCCTATAGACCAGCCCTGCTGAGCCTGACCTCTCCAAACCATTTTGGTGTCACGTGGCTGAGTGACACAACACTCCATGGTCTTTCTTGGAGGAACACTGGCCCTGCAGTCAGCCAGGGTAGATGGGAAGTATAAGCAGCCTTAAATTGCGATGAGAGAAGTGTAAATATTCAGGGAGAGGTTTAAGAAATGCTTTAAGCTTTGGGTTTGCAGAAGAAACATAAAGACATCTTAGGAGGGTTTTTTAAGACTGAGAGGCTGTGGTTTGGTGTGCACCCCTGAACCTTGAGCATTAGGTACCAGAAATACATTGTGCCTAAGCCTCTTAATCCAAATTTATTTTTGAACTATATTCTACCTATGTCCCCTAAAATGTTAGACAGGCCACAACTCTGAGGACATCAGAACTTATTATCTGGCAGCAAATGACACTCAGCATCTCAGGGATCTGATTAATGATTTAGAGATTCTTTTCACTTTTTTATGTAGTTGTGATAATACTTAATATGTGATATTCCAGTGCAAACTTCTCTTACAGCAACAACACCCATCACAGATTGCAATGTTACTGTGTTTGTCCATAAAAAGCACATTTCTTTTTTCTAATTCAGGTGGGGTTTACTTTGGAAAGGTGTGTATGGTGCAGTTATTGAATTTTTATGAATAAGCAGTTCCAAAACAAACAAAAAATATTTTGAAAATGTGCTAAGGGCAAGTCTCTTCTCTAGTTACTGATGTGCCCCCTTAAATCTGTCTAGCAAAATAGAGGGCATCTTAATATTTTTTTTTTTGTTTACTTAGCAAATCGTGCAATGCTAATTTAATCTTGTTTTATTCTCTTGGCTGGTTAAACTATCATGGCAGAACCATAAAACTATAGTGCTTCCATTAATGATGCATGGGAAGGAGTGACAAGCACTTCACTTAGAGAACCTCATAGGACTTACATGAAGCTGGGACATGGGTGGAATGCTGGTTCCTGATTCCACATTGTTATGAAACCTGCCAAAAAGCCATTGCCCAGCCTCAGACATAAGTGTCCTGGGGAAGTGAGCACATCTGGATATTGGCCCTGTTGAAAGGCCTGCGTTCTCATTTGTTCTTTCATCCTGACCAGCACTCATAGGAACAAGGAAAGACTGGTGTGCTGGGCACAGTTCCATGTGGTCATTTCAGGGATTCTTTGGGTTTGCTTGGTCCGTCTTATCTCAAAAGGGAAGTAGCAATGGACATGAAAGATGAACAAAATCTGGCTCCCTGTGATCAGGAGAGAGGTCTCCAGCCTGTACTGCCCTGCAGTGCTCGCAGTCAGACCTCCTTCTCTCAGGGGCAAGCGCACAGGTCAGGTCTGGAATCTGCATTGGCCAGATGTCAGTTGAGAGAAAGCCATTGGATACACAGGCATACAGATCTGGAAGTGGCATTGGGACTCAGGTTGGGAAATACAGTCAAGTCCTTGTGAAACTAGGCCTTCATGCACTTTGTGCACTTTGTACTGAAATTCAAATATTCATTCTTCTCCTTGCCTGGGGAAAGAGAAGGCTCCTCAGGGAGGAAACTGGTCTAATTAGAGAGCTTCTCTAGCTGATGCACAAAGTGACAGCCTCTCCTGGCTGGTGGTCATTGTCCAAGGGAGCCTTTCTTCTCACACCCTTTCCATCTGCTATAAGGATGGTGCTCAAAAAGCCTGGTGGCAGTGGCTAGAGCAAGGAGATAAATTGGGGCACAGCTCTGCTGCGTATCCCCTTTCCTCCAAATGAGAACTTTATACTTCTTTTACACTTGATCTTGCTGCAGCTCATCCACCTTGGGAACTCGATGGGAAAGAGCAAATCAAGATGTGATCCAGTTGTATTCCAATGTTCCTGGAGGGAGCTCTTCCTATCTGATGAGGTTAGGTCCCTTTAGGGCTAACATAAACCATTCTATTTTACCATATTACCTGGCAACTGGTAATTGGGCAATTACCTACCATCCAGTTACATGTTAGCTTTTATAGACACATTTGTAAAAATTATTTTATTTTTGCTTGTTTGTTTGTTTAATCTGTCACCATTAAATTATTTCATGAGCTGTGGACTAAAATTTTGTTCTGTCATTAAAGTCCTCCTTCACATGACTAGAATACCTTTAGTGATGGTGGGCCTGATTTACAGATAAGAAAGGTGTGCGCATGGAGCAGTGACAAGAACAAGTCTGCCCTTTGAAAATTGAGTCAGTGGAATGCATACCTATAAGGTGAACTCCTGAAAGTGATACATGCAGGAGTTCTTAAGGATTTCAGTGCTAAGGTCGTTCAATCCATTATCCAACTCCTAGCCTTCTTATAAATTAATACGTAGAACCAATAGCTACATACCAAAGCAGTGCACCAAATGTTGTTAACTCTTCTCTGAAGTTAGAAAACAAAGACTGAACAGGCTGTACTTAAGGCATTGAACTTTCCCTCAGGAGGCCTTATTACATTCCTGGCTGCACCTGAAACCCTCTGTGATTTTGGTCAATGCATTTTCTAGTTTTCTCTGTATTGGATTTGAAAAGGAAGAGAGAGGAAATAGTTCACAGCAAGGATGTTTTTAACATCGTAGGATCTTAATGTTTTAGATAGAAGAAATACTAATCCACTGATGGAAGGTAAGTTACTTAACTTACGGTGATTAGACTTCTTGCAGAGAATCACAATTCAGACACATTCCTTGGATAGTCAGGACCAGTTGGGACCCTTCTGTCTTTATCTTAAAACAATAAAAGAGAGAACACCACTAACAAATAAAGTTGTGCTGAACACAAACCCATGTGACCTCCACTACTGAAAGAAGTGGAATTGACCACCAATTGTATTCCTTGAACACTGGCCTAGGAGAGTTGTGTGCCTCAAACTTGACCCCAAGACTTGTTTATACCATACACCAGTGCTTATGCATGATGCCCAGACCCAGAGGAAGTAGCAAACAGGGTGACATCTGAAATGGTAATTCTGTTTTGGTGCTTAATTACAGGTCTGGGCTAAGCACTCTACTGAAGAATGTGATTTACATATCAAAAATGCTTCCTGGACTTCTGCATCTATTGTTTTAACAAGTGGGTTTTGCATTATGGCAGGGAGGTCAGAGCCCTGCTTTGGCCATTTAATGATCAGGCCAGAGGCAAGTTTCAGTTGAAGCAATTTCACCCCATTTGTGAGATTTTTCAAGACTACAATAAAGGAAAGGTAGGGTATCATGCTGCAACACAAAATAACTCACAGAAGAAAGCTAGATGCAAAAGGAAAGAAAAAGAACCTGAAAAATCAACTTTGTTTTCTCACTCCAGTATATATACAATAGCAAAAGTGACAGTGGGTTGGAAGGTAAAACCACCACCTCTCCAACCATACTGGTCAAACCAACAGTCCATCAATTCTCTCCATGCATAATGAAGAATGCAAAACAGTCATTATTTACATGAACATGCGTGAGAAAACTCAGTTGAAATATGTAAATATCAGAAGGCATAGGAACTTTTAGAAGAACTTTAAAACTCTCAAGAGAACAGGGCCACAGTAGGGGTTGAGGAAAGAGAAGGGAAGGAAAACTGTTGAACATGTGGTGTATAAATGAGCAGTAGTAATAAAAGAGAAAAACCATAGTCCTTAAAGACAAGTTAAGTGGAACAAAAAATATATGTAATTCACTTTCCATGCAAATGAAGAATTTGAGATTAACTATTCTGTTCCATTGCTAAACTGTAAAGCACGATTTGTATCTATGACTCCATTAAATTAATTTTAATTAGATTAAAGGTTTTTTACATTAGAATTAGGACAAAATTATCATTTTGGCAAGGCTTCTTTAGTCTTCCAGCTTCTCTCGCAGAAGCAAAAGCTCCCCTGAATGGCAGAATTTCCATCAAGTTTTTTAGAACCATCTTCATTTTTTCACTGGAAGAGAAACTGACAGGGTGACTGATGAATTGTCACACACCATGACTTGCACTTAGAGAAACATATGAAAAAGCTGTGAAGCACAGTGTGAATGATTTCTTAGGCTACAAAAAAGAACATTGAAGCCTTGTGGTGATCCAAAGACTCCTGTCACTGAGAAAGATTAAGGGTTTCAGGAATATTTCAAATGAAGCTGAGAACTCAAATTGTCTGTGTCCAGTTTATAGCTCCAGCTTTTTCCCCTGAGCAACTTGTTTATTTTCCTTTCCCCATGTATTTCAAGAACTAATGGTTACACATCGCTTTGGGGAAAATGAAACATGATCACTTCCTCAAGTAGACCCGATTTGTTGCTTAATTGATTCATCTTCATTTCAAATTCTCAGTTTATTTTCTGATATTGCTGTTTAATAAACATGACCATCTATTTCCCTTATGTGTGATGCTCTGTAAAACATCTTTGAGCTGCTATATCACAGATTAGTGTAGCATTTTAAGTGTATCAAGACCTATATATGGAGTAGTCTCATAATGAGCATATGGTAGAATGCTGCAATACTGATAAATGCAATAAAATATATTTATACAGAACATATAGCATTCTTTCATTTCAAAGCTATTAATTTCTGTTTGCTTTAATATAGTAGTATATAAGACACCTTCAGTGTTGGGTTCAGTGTGGGTTTGGGCATGCCCGGCTGCCCAGCTGGTCTTACATGGAGTTTCTTAGCTTTGTCTGAAATCTTCAGTCCTTCTGGCTCTAACAGAGAACAATGCTTACATCAACAAATAGCAACAATGCTTCCATTAAAAACAAAACACAAAAAAATACTCCAATCCCAGAAAGCATTGAGCATTTCCTCACAGGAAATAAAAAGTGCATATCAGTGTTATGCAGTGTCAAAAGCTAGACACATAATTAAACATCCTCTACATAAGGACACATAATGGGAAAAGTGCCATAAAAGGTCAGACCTTCTAACAAAATCTGTTCTCTGGCAGTGAGTTAGAAAAGAACAGGGTAAGTAAATATGAAACTTCCTTTAAATATTATCCTAGGCTTTGAACAGTCATAGCTCAGAGATTTCTCAGCAGGAGACCCTCATGAGCAATCTCAGTCAAGTGCTCTCCCTTGACTTGTTCATGAAAAGTTTTAGCACTTCCAGAATCCTAAAATGGAAAGTTCTGAAAGTTGAATTGTAGGAGGAAAACTACTTTTTTTTTTTAACTCTTAGGTTTAATGTTGTACATTGAAAAAAAAAAAAGTCTTCTCCTAACTTAATTTTATATTACTTAATTTTATAAGTTCACATTTTGATAGCAAATAAATAATGTATCATTGCTCTTGGCTTCCGATAAAAAGGTCCATAAAATGCTTCTATCATCTGTAACATTCTTTCTAATACAAAACCAAAAGCAATTGCTTGATTTTATTTAGTTTTTCAACAGCCCATAGAGTGACTTGCAAATTATTTCCAAAGGAAAAAAGTGCAGACTGTTTTTAAATTGTTTGCACTAAGTAACAGAAATCCCACAAAACCTGAGACATAAGTCATTACCTCTTATAAGGTTACTGCATATGTTCCTTTCCAGAAAGATATCTGAGAGCAATGCAAAAGCATTTGCCTAAAATTAGCAATTACCTTGTCTTTCAATAACACAGTTACACAATTAAAGGCAATTTGGTGAAAAATGTTACACCTCATCAAACACATGCTACTATAAATTTTACATTTTTAGTACAGGAAACTGCTTCATTCCTGTGGGTCAAAGGCAAGGTCTGCTAAGATGTCTGCTCCACAGAAAGCAGATGATGATAATGGACACGATACACTATCCATAAATAGCATTCACTTTGCCTTACTTATTATTTATTACTAGAGTCCAATAATAGAAAATCAATCTACTTTAGCCTCACCATTCACTGATTCAGTGCAACCAATTTTGTTTCCTTTTGAAATTACATAAATCAACGTTGTGAGTTCATTTTCCTGTTCCACAAACACTTCACATTTTTACACTCATCCTCAGTGAGTGACATGTATGATTACAACAATGTCACCTTCTTTCAGATGCCTTAATAGATTGTGCAGTCAGCACTGGGTTGCATGACTGGGATCAACTCTTCTAAGAATACCTTATTTACTCTCTTCCAGTCTAATTAAAAGCAAGCAAACAAACAAACAAACCCCCAAAAAACACCACCTTTCAGATTCTGTTTCCTTGGATATTTTTCCAAGAATACATTCAGGATGTGCATGCAAAATAGATTTATCCATAACACAACAACAATTTTTTTTTTCAAATTCAATCTTATGCATGTAGGCTTTTCCCAAAGCCTTGAACTCCAGATTCTTCTTTTCTCAGGCCTTTCCAACAGACATAAAGCTTAAGGCAAAGTGTTATTTAGACTCCATAAACTCCCCATGCCTGACCACTCGACCTCTGATCACCCAGGCTGCTGCTTAGCTGATTTCCCAGCAGACTTGGCCTGTGCCAACTAGAACAGTTCAAGGGTAGTGCACATTAAGCACCATTTCCAGTGGGCTCCATGAGTAACCCTGCTCCAAGTCTGCTCTCTACAGACTCCCTCAATGCTATCTCACTGGGTGTTGCACCCTCAAATACTACATGCTTTCATTAAAGTGACCTTTTTATTTTTAGACAATGGCAAAGAAAACTGTGGAGGTGAAACTTTTAAACAGCCACTTTCAAATACAATGAACTGGATGAAAAACTCTGCAGACATAAACAAGTTATGTTTGAAGGCCACAGGATGACAAACAGCACAGGGGAGCTCCAGGGTCATTTGAGATGTAGTGTTGATTGGTCAATCTGATCTTAAGGAGAATACAGCTCTAAAATAATATGGACATGAGCTAGGCAGGGAGAGAGGCTGTGTCCTGGCCATCTGCAGTTTAGCAGAGGCATAGCTAAATATGCCTCCAATCTTCATGTGACTGAAAACCAGACTGAGCTGTATGATAGTGATGCTCTCACCACTTACAAAGTAAGTAGGCAGGTACAAAAATGGCAAAAGCGGATCTGCTGACTGAAAAGATATTTTCATATTTAAAAATGTGATTAATTTCACAATTCTTGAATGAAGTCTTCTTTGCAAGGACAATGCTCCAAAACTGCTCAGAAAGTGACAAATTTCTTCTGGTATTTCTCAGGTCAATTCAAGTCCAAGTCTGTATTAAACAACAAGATCCTATGTGAAGTCCCACCTTCTCATCTAAAGTTATTTTGGAAGCTTACTGAAACCACTGGGCTCACAGCAGACAATGCTCTATTTGGAATATTAAGGAACCTCCACCCTTCTGGGAATTCCCCGTTCCCAGAATGCTGCGTGTGTATTGCTCCTTCATTTAGTACTCCAGAAGAAGTTGAAATGAAGGGAAATGGACAATATATTGTCATGACATTATAATTAAATGTGTGACTTGTCAAAACCTTTGTTTAACAGGATGAGCACACTTACCCAGATCCCATATGTGTGTTAATTATAGCAAGAAAGCAAACAGAATGTCAATAATTAAAACAGAATGTCAATATTCCTACCAACAGGAAATGGTTATCAAGCTGTGATAAAATGTTTACCAGGAAATGTTTTTACACTATCCAAAACATTTCCTGTCTGTAACATTTTTTGTGGGAAAAAAGAATATCTGTGGTGCCAGAAATAGAATCTTTGCAAGGAATTAAATGACAGTGCTTATAGAAAACGGCAATAGTCACAGATATAGCTTCTTTCCTGTTTTGTTTCTTTGTACATAGTATGATGTAACTCTAAAAGAAAACAGTTTTCAG